AATTGAGGAATGATCTTTTGACAAAGCCTATATTATTCCACATCAAAGTAACACACCAAACAAAAAAAGAATGTGAGGGCATTGATGTATCCAGGATCTGGAATAGTATTTTTTTTAGATTCTCAATCAGACCTTGTAATTTTTTCCCCCTTTTTTCTTAACTAGAATGATGCTCAGAAAGCTAAACCATTTAAGGGTTTTTTGATCAATGTATTCTGTCCGACGTGTTTTTATATTGAAACTTTCACTAAATAACTGAGAACATGTTAAAAAGGAAATACTTTTGTTATCAACTTTCATTGTTGAATAGCACAAACATAGAAGGACATAATATTATAAATTGAAAATTACATAATCCTTAAGTCGGGTCAAGGATGATTAAAAATGTAAAGACAATGAAAAAAATCTACAACAAGACAGAAAATAGAACAAAAACGTGGATCTCCAAATATTTTAGAGGTGGGAACAGGTGCCTAGGAGAAGTAAATATCCCCTGTTTACCTGTTAATCCCGTGGAAGCCCAAATTCACCACACAGATCCTCCCTGTTGTAAGATCTAAAACATGCTGTTACAGAATAAAGCTGCCAAAGTAGTGAAACACTTTGGTGCTTTATACTTATGCCTTTCTTTTCCTTCTTTCTTTTTATTTTGCTGATCATTTCATTCCATACTTTCAGGAGAGTTCGTGGTCCTTGTTAACACCAGGCATCCATCAATTCGAGAATTGCTTTCATACAAGCTTAATGAAGTTACCTAAAAAATGCAGGAGGGAAAAAGGTAAAAACTGGAACTGGCATTTGTAGTTTCATTGTATAAATAAAGTTGGATTTGTCATTCTTGCAGAAAGCTTCAATCTATTACATTGGTTTAAATGGAATTATGAGGACAGCTTGTCTTTAATGACTTTTTGGCTCTGAAAAGTTTCTACTCTGAATCAATGGATGAAAACTGATATGGTGTTTTTCATTATGTGTCAATGACACCCCGTCCCTCCGATATGAAATAGAACCCATTTTCATATAAAAGGTGAAAATAATATAACGTGATCTATCTCAAAAAATCTATAAACAATACAAATATGTGAAAGGACAAACGTGAAAGTCTGTGTGATTTACACACCAATGAACCACACAAAACTTAAAAACATTCCTTATATTAACATTTTACATGTCTGAAAGCATAAAAAATATACCCATTGTTTGAATTTCTCGCTGCCCTATATCGTTGCATTTTTACTAACGTTGCTGTAGCTCATCGTGACGTCACGTTGGCGCACGTTTTTCCGAGTATTTTTCTACGCGTGAGTATACATGAAAATGGTTTAAGGAATCACTGTGTATTTAGTATAGTATGCCAGGGCATCAACGATAGTGGGAAACATGGGATAATTTGCATAACGGGCGAACGGGGTACATAGAATTTTAAAGTATTCAAAAGCCATGCTTCTGTAGAATTTTTTTCTCAGTACAGTTGCAATGATCATCATTTGTGTATCTTATTAGAAAATATTTTGTAGCTCGATTTCAGTCCTCCTGTGAAGCAGTGGTTCAGTGGGATGGAGGATCCTAACTTTTTCTGGGATAACTCTCGCAGCAGCTCTGACTCCGGACACATGGAGATCTTCATCCACAACTACAGCACGCCCATCGAGTGCTGTTATGATCAGGTTCTAATCGCCTGCTGTTTTCCTTTCTGGTTGCTCTTTGGGGGTCCATGTTATCGGGTAAGTTGATATAATAGTATACAAAAAAATTTATCTAAAATTCGCTCCCTTTGATGTTTAGGAGGCAACTCAAAAATGCTCTTAATTATTTTGTAGTTGTTCCTTGGTTTAACCTTCTATCCATGCAATTTTTTCTCATCTTTAACAAAGTAGTGAAAGTCATGGATACTTGTTGATGTTTCGCCTATCAGTTTGATCGTAGATGTGTTCGGCAATCACAGTATTGATATTCACAAAGTTAGTTATGCATGCAGACGCAATTTTCAATATGGCAACGAGTATAATAAAAGAGAATTTTTCTCAGTATTTGTCCAGCTGCAACATACATATATTGTTTGAAACATTGAAACATAAAAGAATTATCCTTTGTATAAAGTCAAACCAGTTTCCGAAAAAGAAATTGAAATTGGTTGAAAAGTGTTTGTCACAATTGTAAAAAAAAAAAAAAAAAAAAAAAAAAAAAAGAAAGAAAGAAAAGGGACTGCTTTTGAATTATATCCATTGGACCCTCAAGATTGCTCCGTAGTTGGAAATTCAGGGTTCAAATCTTTGATTCAAAATAAGGAGAAACTGTTTCTTGTCAAGCCATCGACAATATGAAAGTTAAAGTTGTATATGCACACAAGACCTTTAAAATCGAGGTCTTGTGTCACAGCAAGTGATTGCAAGCTAGACATTTCCCGATGCTTATTGAACCTGAGTGCAGCGTAAATGTCTCTATTTGAAGCTTCATCGGTGTTTGAAATATCTATACCCAAAAATGACATGAAAGATTTATGTTAAAAATTTCTCTAAAGGTATTTTAACCACATAGTATTGATGTTCTAGTTTTTGGGTTTTCAGATTTCAAAAATGACGGCCATTACAATGGATAAGATTTTTAAATTCTGAACATTTTAAATTGTTTTATAATTCTTTTTCAATATACGTATTTAATTGTTAATTCTGATTCAACGCTGATATTGCATGTTCCTGTCAGTACTTGGTACCATATGTTTTCGACATTTTAGTGTTATTAATTTTTTACATCTTTACCAAATTATCCAAAGTGAACTTTTCTGATGGAAGCTGTCCATCTTTTGTCAGTCATCTGGAAACCTTTCATAATTTTTTCCTCTTTCCTCATCAAAAACCATTTCAACTAATCTTGCCACAAAGCAACTTTACATTTGATCAGGTGAACGGCCATGTACGCTTTCAAAGGGGAAAAATTCGAAAAGGTTCAAAAAATCATAATTGTGATCTTTTGGTCAAATTCTTTTTCGTCATCATTATTCTCCCTTATCATGATTAATAAGTGACGACATATTTACCTCCTTAATAAAGGTCAAAAATAAAGTGGATAACTCTAATTTCATTTCTTACAAATATGAACTACTGTTTTGTAAAACTGTTCTTAAAAAATTAGTTTATGCCTGAACTTCCTACAATGTAAACATTAAACAATTTTTTATTTTTTGACAACCGTCAGTACTGTCCATATCAAAGATCTTTTATGTGGTTCATTATGTTAACATGTTGATGTTTTGAATTGTTAAGCTTTTATTGTACTAACATAAATAAAAAAGTTTCAAAGTTTCAATCCACTGTTTTCAATCATTTTTTTTAAAATAAAAATATGCTATGCATTAAATTGTCTGGTTGTATATTTATTATTTAAACAACGTTTAACAAAATCACATTACTGTTCTGATCTTGTCCCTGCTATTCGCCTCTCAGCAGTGTGATATTCTATATTTATCAAGTCCACACATAACATAAAACTACATATACTTAGGAATAATATATATATAGTTGAAGTAAACGTTTACTTTTTATAAAAAAAAAATTGAAGATTACAAATAGTGGTTGATCTCCAAATCTACAATCAATATAAATCTATATCTGTAAAAACTGGCTTAAAACATTGAAAATCAAAATGGTTGAGTGACGTGTCTTAGGAGTCATAAGGTCTTTGTATTGACTAAAGTAGACTAAATTTTATTCGGATAATATAGTACATTTGTGTGACCGGTCGGATAATAAAGTACATTGGTGTGACCGGTCGGCAGGGGATGCATACTCCTCCATGGCACCTGATCCAACCACTGATGTTTTGAAGGTCCGTGTTTGCTCTGCTCCTGTTTTGTATTATTTTATGGACTTTTTAAACTTGAATAGTGTTAGGTATCTCCATATTGTTCACATACAAAAATTTATAATAATTTTTTGTGTCATTATCTATTTATGTACAGTGTACATTACATATAAGAAGTTACTTTTTTAGTTAAAATGATCATAGCTGGATGTATGAATAATTGTTTGTCAGCTTTATTGATATTTTAAATAGTGCAAGAAACATTATATTTTGTGATTTTTTTCAGATTCACAGAGCAATAAAATGTATACTGATGTCATCTTTGAGTTCCATGATTGTCCGGTAGTGTTTGGATGAAGTCAGGGTTGAAGGTCATGTGAAAGTGAAATAAATGTCTTGTAATATAAAAGTAGGTTTATCGGTGTATCATGATTTATGTGGAACATGTTTATGACAATATTTGTATTCGGTGTATGTAGTTCTTGTTGATTTTTTATCAGTTATCTCTTTGTTTATAAGATGTAACATTTTGTTGATTCTTTCTGATATGCAGTATTGATGAGAGAGATATATTTCTTTGTGTGTTATCCTTAAACTATTTAATCTATTTTTTTTTAAAATATGATTTACTTGAAACAGTAAAATCTTTTAATATGCTTTACTTTGTATTATAAAAAACATGTACCTGTTTTAATTTCAAATATCTAGCTTCCAAAGCTTGACATAAAATGAATATTGTTTAAAATAGATAAACTTCGTGGATAGTTCTATATGCTCAATTGACGGCCACAGCTAGAAATCTTCTTTTGATGAACACGTTTTTTAATGAATTCTACTTCGGAATTCATGATTACTCTGAATATAAAACAAAAATTTGTAAAAGGTGATGAAAATCGTACATTTAATGTTAGTGATTTTGAAAAAAAATTGTGATTACAAAAGTTCCTTGGAAATTTTATGTATCCATAATTAATTTAGTTAGTGGTACGAATCGATCGGAAGCGCAAAGGTCTCTACACTTTAACCCTAATCCTAACCCTGAAGTGCAGTAGAAACAAAGAAAACTATGATCTGTGAAAATCCCAACATTCAAGAAGACAATTAGGAAATTAATACACTTTACATTATTTAAAAAGTCAAAAAATTCGCACAGTTATCTTACAGAACTAGTAAAAAGTCCCGGATAAAAATCTTAAAATCATCCGGAAGAGTTAAGTATATATTCAAGTGGTCCACAGATCTTCATCAAAATAAGTCTTTTAACGGTTTTGGGGAATATACCAAAGATGAGTGTGATAGCCTTAGGTGCTGATACATCATTAACTCCTCCCTCTACGGTCATCTTGTGGAACCAGCTCCAGGGGAATCCCCAGGCTTTGTATAACGTTTGTTCCGTCGGAGAGGATGGAACACTTCATGTCTCAGACGACGTAGTTAACTTGACGCAAGTCAACTCAAGGTAAAGAATTAAAGTTTGAGTAGTGGTTTACTGTGGATAACTACAGCAAATTATAGTTAACTATTTAGTAATAGTTTGGATAATGTCTGGTTAATGTTTGGTTAATCATCCAAGAAAAAAGTAAAAAAAAAAAACTGATAAGTATTAGGGAAAAAAGTGACCATGAGTTTGAGCTACCACCCATAAAGTTCATCAATTCCATTAAGGAAGGGTTTCTCGAAGTAAAATTTTATTATAAACTTTGCTTAAGTATTTTTAGTTGGGAATGCTATACAAAAATATCTTATTCAGAGTGTAAAAAGGTAGGTAGTGCCTATACATTTGTATATGCATGAAGTCTGTTTTATATATCTTAGTCAAATGACAATGCAAGCTATTATTTGCCGACAAGCCCAGGAAATGCATTAGGGGATCAATATATTTATTAAATCTTGTCTACAAAAGTTTACAAATATACTTTATAAATATTAAATTACATAGACGGATACACTGTTGGATATATAGGTATATATTATTGGCAAATTCACTTATATAAGGCATGGATAAATAGAAGAATATTTTTCTACAATATACATAGAAAACACACTCAAAAATACAACAAAAGTGCTACATATGTACTTTAACAAATGCGCTACAAGCCTTACAAAATAACATATTATCTATTATAACATATAATCAATCAAACAATCATGGTATTTTGTGAGACTTGTAGCACATTTGTTATAGTAGATTTCATTGATTTCTTTATCGTATCAGTGAAATAATCTATTCATTATATAAACAAATCGACTCTTCTTAAACAGAGGTTATAGAATGAATATACCCGTCTAATACACGATGGCAAATATACTGGTCATCAAGGGAATCGAATGTAAAAGCTTACTGAACTCTTTATACTGAAAAAAATCAACTTTTCCACAAGGCCTCGAAATGGAAACAATATAAATCGATACGCAAGAGCATGCTCTACGTATGAACAATTTTTAAAACAAGGTTACTTATTACACATTTCGTAGGTTCCATGGTCGATACAATGACCTTGTCAGCAAATACAATTTATCATTGATTCAAATGCTGACTGACGTTTTTCATACTAATTGTTAGTCCATTATTTATACACTGAATTGACGACAGATTTTCCCGTTATTTCCCGATCATGACAAGGAGCACATGCGGGTGTGACCGGTCGGCAAAGAACGCTCACTCCTTCATGACACCCGATCGTACCTCTGATGGGAAGTTTAATGGATTTCTTATATTGAATACTGTTCGTTATCTCCATATATTTCATTATACTACAGATATTTATTGCTTCTAGATTTTATAGACTCTTCACTGTTCGATATCTTCACCTCTTCATTTGGAACGTATTTCGGCTTGAGTTAAAACTACCCTTGTTTCAAATTATGATATGATTACGCTTTTTCTAGAAGAAGGATATGGAGATAACGATCAGTATTCAATATTAATTTCCATAAAACAATACAAAATAGGAGCAGAGCAAACAAGTACCTCCGAAACATCATAGTTGGGATCAGGTGCAATGGAGGAGTGAGCATCCCCTGCTGACCGGTCAAACCCGCCGTGGGCTCCTTTTCATCATTGGGAAATAACGGAAAAATCCGTCGTCAATTCAATGTATAAATAATGGACTACCAATTAGTATGAAAAACGTCAGTCAGCATTTGACTCGATGATAAACTGTATTTGCTGACAAGGTCGTTGTATCGACCATAGAACTTATGAAATTATTACTTTAAACGAGACTACTGATATTCTAGCATTCCAATATCTGCACTTTTTTCCTTTAACATATGTTTACATGAATGTCAAATTATTTAAATTGACTAGAAGAGGGTGAACAGAATCATGGAGGTCTCTATTTTTTAAAGTAAAGGTAAACTTTTTTTTATCTGTAGATTTACATTTGGAGTGGGTCAGGACCACTCTTGGGAAATCAAGGTTAAGAGTTCTGAGGAGCTGGAGAGGTTGAGAAGCAATCTCATGTCCAAACCTATTCTTTTCCGAGCATCTGTGGAGCAAGCACGATCTGACTTTTACGTGGTGTTCGCTATACACAAGAACTGGATTGGTATTCTTCTTTATGTTTGCAGATTGTAACATCCTGTTTTTGACACGTTAAAGGCTTTTTTATGACTAAACTTACAACATGAAAAGATAGAGAAAATAAGGCCGCTATTTATGATATAAATACACCTGCAAAATGTTCACCTTTTTAGAAGAAATTGTTTGCAAATGCTACTTCTATTAACTAATGATTATTTCAAAAATATATATAAAATTAATTATCATGAGACATATTATAACGTTCTCGATGATGGAAAGAAAATGTTTCCCAAGACAATCAGTTTACCATATGTTATCTTCTTTCTTTAGCTGAACTAGCCGTTCTCGTTGATACAAGGCATCCATCCATTAGAGAAGTTTTATCTAGCAAGCTGAATGAAGCCACACAGTCTATGAGAAACGGTAAAAAGTTCTGTTTGAAGGTACAAAAGAACTACACTTACAAGGTCTTCTGTATTACCTTACGTTTTCAGCCTAAACACGAGGGGATTGTGCTGTATTGGTTTGAATGTATGTGTGTCAGTTTGCTTATTATTCAATTCTGTAAAAATCCGAATAGCTCGAAAAGAAACAGTTATGAAAAGGATTATTTTAGCAAGAATTTTTCGTATATTGCATTTAAATAGGACAAGGAAATCCAAGAAGGAAAACTACTCACTCCTACTCCATCTACATGTGTTCCCAAATGATAGAAAAAGAAAAGAAATTTTGAGATTTCCCGCAATGGGGAAACTACACGAAGCTTGAGTTTTCATGGCTTTTGAAAATTCATGGAACGGAATGTAGTTTTTTTCAATAAAACATATGCAGATAACGAATAGTATCCAGATCAAAAGTCCATAAAACAATACAAAATAGGAGCGGAGCAAACACGGACCTCAAAACATCAGAGGTGGGATCAGGTACCATGGAGGAGTGGGCATCACCTGCCGACCGGTCACACCCATGTGCTCCTTGTGATGGCCGGGAAATAACGGGAAAATCCGTTGCCAACTCAGTGAACAAATAATGAACAACAATTAGTATGAAAAACATTAGTCATCATTTGACTCAATGACAAACTGTATTTTCGACATTGTAATTGTTTCTTGCTGCATAAGTAAGGGAATTTGAAATAACTGGATATAACGAACAACATGCCAAAAAAAAATAAACAGGAACTAGCGTAATAATCAAAAATAAATCTTGGAAACCACCGGAGAGCATAGTTCTATGGTTTCTGTTTTCCTTTATTGAGATCTTTTGATTAAGC